TATTGTTCTTGTAGGAATTGTAAACATATTAATTATAATTATTTAAATAAAAAAAGATTAGAATGCACAAAATATTTATACTTACCTAATGTCCTTGTTCCTCTCGCAATTGCTGTTCTTGTCTTGTTTAATTGTAAACTTGTTGCGATTTTTTGACACGCATTTCAAGAATTACAATTAAGGGCAGACTTAATTAAGTTTCCCTTTCTTTTTGATTATCTTTCCTTTTGTATAACATTTAGGATTTAAGGCTTAAAAAATATTTAATTTAGAATTTAATTAAATAATAAATGATAATAACGAATAAATGCTCATTCAGAAAGAAATGCTGCTTTTGAGGTAGATCTATCCAAAAAAAAAACAACATGCAGAAAACTTGGTCCATATTTAATTTTGAGTCGAAAGGTACATGCATCATTTTATTATCTATTTCACATCAAGCTGTTCTTTTTTAGTAGCTCGTCCCCATGAAGGATTTAATTATGTGGAATTTTACAAGGTTGCGCTGAATATTTGCTAGTTTTTCTTGAAAGTTCAGACTGATATGGATAAAAACCTTTTATAATTATGTAATTGAAGCTATGTCTAGCAAAATTATTCACACATTCTTTATATAGAATTCTATTATTTATAGAGTACGTGGATTCTTCTTTAATATGAAGCTTATTATTAATATTTTTTTTTATCACTCTTGTTTTCGTTTTCCAACGCCATAAGAAATTTCTTAAAAAGCGCGTTTGTAAGCATATTTAAAATATTTTAAAAATTATATATACAGTACGTATATTATAAGTTTTATTTTAATGTTTAATTATAACTAACCAATCAAAATTTTAAAATTGAAAAAAATTATTCCATATTCAACACACAACAACAAAAATGGTAAAAGCGTATGCATGTGCAATTTGATTTAGTTTTGCATATTTGATTATTATTTTGGCAATCATGAGTAGTTACACACTGCATTTAATCATAAAAGTTATACAAATGTGGTACGATTATTTTTTTTTTAAAAAATTTGCATTTTATTTTTCAATTTTATAGACAAAAAAATGGCAACTAAAATTTTTACAGAAATTTTAATTATAATTTTAAAAAATGTTCAATCAACTCAAGATTTACGTTCATCTTTATTAGTTAACCGATTCTGGTGTAAAGTTACTACACCTATACTTTGGGAATTAACTTTATGTCAGGACCTTCATTGGATAAATTATAAGAAGATGAGGAAGAAATCATTATTTATTCGAACTTATTTATCATGCATGGATACCCAAGCCAGAACTTTAATTACCCAAAATGGGTTTGATTTATCATCATCACCACCTCATGCTACTTTTGATTATCCATCATTCATTCGTGATTTTAGAATTGAAAATTTAGCTTATTTTATTTCCATATATTCACAAAAAATTATTGTTTCATATTTAGATAACTATTATAATAATAATAACAAATCCATCATCATTAAATCAAGAATATTATTTTATGAGATATGTAAATTAATAATAAATCGTTGTACATTTTTGGATTCTTTTAAATTGACGAGAGTTCCCAAACTTTTATTTGAAAATTTTCTAAATAGTGACTTAATTTGTTCAATTCTCAAGTTACCTAGTGCCTCAAAAATATTTAAGAAATTAGAAACGTTTGTTTCGGCGACGATAAATGATGAATTAACTAGACCATTATATGAATCATTAGCATTAATTTGTGATAATTTTTTAAATATGGATTTGGAATTTAAGTCGGAATCTCAAGTGTTATTATTAGAAAAACTTATTGGTGTTCAAAAACGGTTAGAAAATCTATCAATTACAGACAATGGTTATATAAATTCTAATTCATTATTATGTGTTATCATTAATCAAAAAAGATTAAAGAGACTTCGTTTAATATCATTAAGATTTTATAATTTCGAGGAGAAATCATCACCAATTGGACAATCTACTTCACTTCAAGAACTTTATATTGAAAATTGTTCTGGATTGTATAAATTGGATTGTTTATTTTTTGCCTCATTATTTACTCAATTGAGTAGTTTTCGTTTGAGAAATACTTTCGATGCATTTCCTCGAGATTTTATTATTAAAATTTTCGAAACGGCAAATGTGAATTTAAAAAATATTTGTCTAGACTTATGCCAAAGAATTCCATCTGATGTCGTTTCAGCAATTTTAAATTATTGTAAAAAGATTACGGAATTAGTTTTATGTAATTTAAGTTCTGAACAAGTAATAGTTATATTTAATAATAATTTTAATGATTTGAGGAGATTTTCATTTGATTGTGTAAAAGGATTGAATGCTAATAAATTATTATGCCAAATGGGTGAAAGTGTACCAGAATCACTTGAAACTGTTGAAATTAGAATGGGAATATTTAGTGCTGATAGTTTGCGAAAATTTTTTGAAGGTTGGTGTCGTAAAGGAGTGGGGGGAAATAAAAAGATGATTGTAAAACGACAAGTGCGAAGACGTAAATTAAGTGATGAACATCGGAAAATTATTGAAAAATATGGAGTCCAATTTAATATAAAATAATAATATTCAAAATAATATATTTTAATTATAATATCAAATCAGAAAATATATTTAGTTGAGTTATGTATTTCATTAGATTATTTATTATTTTTTTTTTGAGTTGACATTGAATATAAGAATATTGAATATATTAAAAATACAATGTACGAATACTAGAAATCAACATTATATCAGATATGAAATTTGATGATAATAATTTTGTTAATGAAAAATATTATTTTATAGTTTAAATTACAAACATCATTTTTTAATTAACGTTAGTTAATTAATTATTTAATTTTAATTAATATGACATTTTGATAATTTAAACTTCAAATATTTTAATGATATTAACATAATAGATTTTATATTTTGCTTCGTTGTTTCTCTTGTAATTTATTTTTATATAATAGAATAAACTTAAATTCGGGATATTTTTATAGCTTGAATTTTTAATTTGATTTTATATGTCTTACAATTTAGAAATACTAAATATTCTAATTAGAAATAAGCAATTATTATAATTGTTCAATACAATTACTTATTGTATTTATATAATGCATTAGTAATATTATTGAATTACAAACCATCATAAACAAAAAAAAAATCATAATTACAATTATTAATTGGGTATCCATGTTATAATGACTTCATACTTAAAAGTTTTAAGTTACGGCTTTACCATAATCATTTGGTGATCTTAATTATCAATTAGAGGCTTGACAAAAAAAATTAAATAAAATTATTGAAATTTCAAAATTTCCAATAAAAAAAATGAAATTTAATAAGCAATATAGCATAATCATGAGGTATGTTTAGAAGGCAGGATTGGTCACTGTTTCCCGCTCGAAGTGAAGGATTACAGGTCACAGAATTCAAATAACAACTGTCAGGCTATTACTAACAACAATAATAAGAAGAGATAATTTTCATTCTTTATTCATGGGAAGACGGAATTATACTGTCTCTTGTTCAAAGTATCACCTTGGGAAGCATTATGGCAATAGAGTCAAATAACAACTGTCAGGCCGTACATTTATTCTTAGAAGGTTTAAATTTTATTCTGGTGTACTTTCTTTTCTTTAAGAGATGTTTTATTATAACACAATAAATTTCTTTCATGTGAAAGGTATAATTCTACTCATTTTTACAATATGATTAACCAAACAAATTATAAAGTAATCTGGGAGCAAATTAGAAATCATAGCCATTGTGATAACAAAATATAACAACTAACTAATCACAAGTAGGGGTAGAAATTTCCCTCCAATTATTTATTTTAATATAAATAGTTTGGGGGCATTTTTGATGAAAATAGCTACTTTTTGAAAAAATAAAATATATATATATATATTTGGTTCAAAGGTTTCGTAATCATAGTGTCGACGATCACCATTTCGTTCTTTGTAGAAGTCTTGTGATTTTCGTGTTTTGAATTTCAACGCATATGCCTAAATAAAAAATAAATTTGCATCAATTTGGATGAAAAAATAAAAAATAAATTATTTTTTTGGCTAAAACACTGCACTTTGCGATCAATTTGTCCTTTGACGACTACAAATTCGTTAAGGTGTTTTTGGATCTTTAATAATATTTCCATATTCAAAGTGAAAAACAAAAATAAAAACAAAATATTATTTTTGATATCAAAAGGGAGAGTACGGTTTCACCACTGTACAAAATAATAAATGCGTAAATGGAAAGTGAATTTATATAAGAGGTTAAAATATCAGTACTTATATATTTTGCTCTAGCTCTACGAAATAAATGACTGGTTTAAAATAAATAGCTCATTTGCACATTAGAAACGTTAAACTTAAATCGGAAATTTTTTATTTATTATTATTTTTTTTAAAATTTTAAAATTCGGAACAGTTAAATTTTATTAAGCGATAAGTATTATTTTTGTTGCGGTTGAATTTTTTCTATTTTATTAATCTAGTGATGGCAAAATGATTAATATATAATATTTTATTTATTTATAAGCGGTGCATTTTTTGAACGCTCACACTTAATATTTTATTGTGATTATAGAAAATTCTAAATGGAATTTGAATTCTAAAAATTGATAAAATCAACCAAAAATAACCACAACAATATTTTACTAATAGCTGATCAAAGAGATAATTACTAGAAATAATAGTAATCTTAATAAGAAGGTAATATGATATAAGAAATTGTTTATCTGTAAGCTTGAAATTAATGTTACTCATGCATAATTTCGGTCACAACCGATTGATAAATATATTACAAAAATACTATCTCCGAAGTCCGATGATAGTCTAAAAATAAGTTGAATGGATGGAGTGTTGTAAAGGATGAAAAGAAGTCGAATTAATAACTTAGGAGATTATAGGAAAATTTATTATCACCAAATTTGTAGCAATAATAGCGGAATGTATTTAATTCTATATTAAATGACTTTAAAGTTTCAAAATATTTTCATTATTTTTTCACATGCAGATACTAATAATGATAATGAGATTATTTTTGGTAATCATGAATGAAAAACGCTTCAAAATTATTTTTTTTAAATACTCTTTATTTTTTTCTTAAATTTTATTTCCTAGAAAAAAAAAATGGCATCTAAAATTCCCCCAGAAATATTAATTAAAATTTTAAACAACGTTCAATCAACTCAAGATTTATATTCATCATTATTTGTTAATCGAATCTGGTGTAAAGTTACTATACCTATACTTTGGGAATTACCTTTGGGTCAAGAATATCGTAGTACGGAGAAGTTGAAGAAGAAAGCATTATGTATTCGAACTTATATATCATGTATGGATACACAGGCCAGAACTTTACTTATTCAAAATGGATTTGATTTATCATCATCACCACCTCGAGCTACTTTTGATTATCCATCATTCACTCATAAAGTTATGATTTTTAATTTATTTTTTTTTGTTTTCATATATTCACCACAAAATATTGGCTCATATCAACATATAAAAAAATATATTAATTCTAACGAAATAATTATCACCGAAAAATCGAAAATATTATTTCGAGAGATATATAAATTAATAATAAATCGTTGTACGTTTTTAAATTCTTTTAAAATGACGGAAGTTCCTAAAATTTTTTCTAAAAAAATTCTAAATAATGATTTAATTGGTTCAATTCTTAAGCTACCTGGTGCCCCGAAAGTATTTAAGAAATTAGAAAGTTTTACTTCCATGATAAGAAATGATAGTATATTAATTAGACCTTTATATGAATCATTAGCATTAATTTGTCATGATATTTTAAATATGGATTTAGAATTGAATTCAAAATCTCAAGTGGAATTATTAGGAAAACTTATTAGTGTTCAAAAACGGTTAGAAAACCTGTCGATTAGTGATAAAGGTTATATGAGAATGAGTCATAATTTATTTTTATGGGATATTATTAGTCAAAAAGAAACATTAAAGAATCTTCGTTTAAAATCAGTAAATTTTTCTAATTTCGTGAAGAAATCATCAACAATTGAAAAATTTACTTCAATTCAAGAACTTTATATTGAAAATTGCCATGGATTGTATATTGCGGATTCTTTATTCTTTGCTTCATCATTTACCCAATTAAGGAGCTTTCATTATTTTCATTCGAGTCATCGATTTAATGAGTATCCTCAAGATTTTATCATAAAAATTCTCGAAACTGCCAATATAAATTTAAAAAATGTTAGTCTAGATTTATTTTTCACAACTCCACCCGATATACTTTTGGCAATTTTATTTTATTGTACAAAGATTACCGAATTAACTTTACATAATTTAAGTCCTGAACAAGTAATAGCAATATCATCATTATGGGATGTCATCAGTCAAATTGGAACATTAAGGACTCTTCGTTTGAAATCAGTAAATTTTTATAATTCCGAGGAGGAATCATCATCAATTGTAGAATTTATTTCACTTCAAGAACTTTATATTGAAAATTGTCATGAATTGTGTAAATCGGATTGTTTATCTTTTGCATCATCATTTACTCAATTAAGTAGTTTTCATTATTTTCATTCACGTATTCTATTTAATGAGTATACGCAAAATTTTATTATAAAAATTCTCGAAACGGCCAATACAAATTTAAAAGATATTTGTCTAGATTTATGTCTAACAATTCCATCTGAAATACTTTCGGCGATTTTAAATTATTGTACTAAGATTGCCAAATTAACTTTACATAATTTAAGTCCTGAACAAGTAATAGCAATATTTAATAATAATTTTCAAGAATTGCGGAGATTTTCATTTGGTCATGGAATGGGATTGGATGCTAATAAATTATTATGTCAAATTAGTAAAAATGTACCAGAATCACTAGAAACTATTGAAATTAGAATGGGAATATTTAGTGCTGATAGTTTAAGAAAATTTTTTGAAGGGTGGTGTCATAAAAGAGGAGGAGGAAATAAAATGACTATTATAAAACATCATGTGAGACGACTTACATTAAGTGATGAACATTGGAAAGTTATTAAGGAATACGGAGTTCAATTTGATCTAGAATAATATTAGATTTCTAAATATATTTTAAACTAATTTATATTTTGTTTCGTTATTTCTCTTGTAATTATATTTAATATTATATAATAAACATGAATCAGGGTCAAAATAATTTGAACTTGAAGTTTAGTTAGTCATCGTATATTTTACAATTTAGAATTACTAAATATTTATGCATTTAAGAATAATTTATTTAGGTACGTCAAACAAAATAAATTAAAAAAAAATAATAATAAGATATAAAAAATTATTAAATTACAAATTATAATCGATTACCTTACCCATCATCTGATCTGATTATTAGAATGCATAAAATATTCTTTTGTTAGTATTGTGACAACAAATACTTTTTTTTTTGAAACCAAAATTATAATATTGTATATATTCAATGAACTATTTTGAATTACATTTTACATAAAATCTTTTCTCATTAAATTTTAATTTTAAGTGATATACTTTTAAAATAATTTTTTAAGATTATTATTATTTATTGTTAATTATTACACAAAAGAAAATAGGATTTGGGCTTGAATACAAAAGCGTTGTCTAACGTGCTATATATAATAATCTAAAATTATTTATACGCCTCGTTCCTTGATAAAAATTTTGAATTCTAAATGCGTTTACATTTTAAAAAAAGTCGTTTTAAGACTTTTCAGAACATCTTAATGACAAATAAGAATATAATGTTATTATTAAAGTTAGTCAAGAACAAAATGAAAACCTTCACTGCACACTCGACAGTCTTACACTATCGTTCATCTTAGTTTATTAAAGAATTAACAAATACTGTTCCTAATTATGATGATAATAATAGAATTATTACTAAACTAAATATATCAAGTAGGTGTAATCTTGAAAATCTTCGACAAAAATTTTTACTACCCAATGCACATTCCGCCTATGTCTTGAAACAGTATAGTCTTCTATCATTTGTATATGCCACTATCTCGTTACATAGTGAGCATTTTTTATTTAGGAGGTATTTAAAGTTATTTAAAGCTTTATTTTTAACTTATTAAGGGAATTTTAAGGGATTAAGGGATTTTTTTTGAGGAACTTATTGGTAATTTACTTGCTTCACAATTGATTTATTACGTTTCTAAATTTATTCTTTTAAACTATGACCAGATGTAGCAAATGTGCCATACAGTACTTGGTAGTCATTAATAAGTGGTGGAAAGACAAGTCACAACTTAAAAAAAATGTATTGGATTTGACCTTCTTTTTCTAGAAGACAATGAAGACGAACCTGATCAATTCGTAAAGTTGTTGAAAGGAATAAAACTAAATATGCTTGAAGAACTTGTTAAAAATGCAAGAGAACAAGACACATGGAAAACAAAAGGAGAAAATGATTTTATACCAGTTCTACAAAATTGACACTACATAATAAGAAAGTGGCTTGAAGGAAGGAAGCTTCAGGTTCAACAAAAATTACCACTTGGTTTCCTAACGAAATTTCCATTAACAATGCAAATTCTATTAACGATATAGCAAGTACTAATAATAATGAAGTGAATTATAATTATAGTCTTTTTTTTTTTGATGATGAAGTTGATTCCAGTGATGAAAGCAATAATGAATTTACTTTAACATTAATAAAAAAAAACTTGTAGATATGTGACTCTGTACAGTGAGTCAATTCTTTCATCCTGTCCAAGACCAAGGATTTTTAAAATGTTTAGCTAGTGAGCTTTTGAATCGTAGTATTAATTGAGACCCATGGCATGCTTGGATCATTCATTCGTAAGCAAATCAAAAGCCAAATGAAAGGGAACTTCTTGTATCATGTTGTGACAATCATTCAAAAATTAAATCTCTTCTGCATCATAAAGATTTCAAGTTGCACATTCTTCAATATTTACAGGCAAATAAGTTTGCACTAAATATTCACCAATTTATAAAATTTATTGAGGAGGAAGCAATTCCTGCTTTAGGAATTGAGACAAAGAAGAAAATATCTGAAGTGACAACATGAACATGGCTATGCTATCTTGGCTGGGACCATTTGCGATCTTGAATAGTGGAATATGAAGGAGAAAATATATAACAAGTTATTTCGCCAATACTCCCACCCAACATTCATGAGTTTGTCCCAATTACTCACTATGAAACAATTTTTTATGCTGATAATGGTGTTGTCAAGACATGGGGTCCCACAGAAGAAAACTAACTCTGGCATTAATTACAAGAGCTCAATGTCCATGTGAGTGATTTTAGTGAATCAATTGAGCAGCTTCATCTCTCAGAGGAAGAATGAGTTGCAAATAATTTGCTTCTTTGATCAACAACTTTTGAATACCGAAAAATAAAACTAAATTAAAATGTTCAAAATATTTAAGTAAAAATAAAACTAAAATTAAAATTGTTCGAAATATCAAGTAAAATATTTTTATTTTGGTTCTTGTTTTTTTTTTGGCAAAAAGGAATTTCTTTTTTTTTTCCACCACAGCTATTTTTATAATACTTCTTCTTGTTTACCTTAATCCTCTATCATTCAAAAAAACGTTTTTGTGATAAATAGACAGTTATCCTGGATGATAGATGACACACGAGGATAATTCATCCAAATAGTGGCACCTATCATCCTCTATCATTCCCGTGACCCCAGCTATTTTTATGCCACCTCAGTATAATAACAATCATATAAATCCACGTGTTTCTTATAAATTAAAACCAATAATATTGCTCTAAATACAAATCATGTTTTACATAAAAATCTGACCAATTGCAAAGGTTTTTTATTGCTGAAATTTTTATTTTTGTATTACAACTCATCATTTTCAAACTTTAATAAATCAATAAATTATTAATAAAAATATAGAGCTTATCATTTTTATTATCATTTTTATTATGAGAATTAAATAATTTAAGTTCATTATTGGATAAATTTTCACTTAAGCTTTATGTTAAAGGATGCAATAAAATTGATGACAATGATCATTGTTGTCATCATCATTATTTAATAGGTTATCTATGACTCCTAATTTTTTATCAATAATGTAGATCTCAGAATTTATAGTCATCTACATTTTTTATGTTGATGTTGATTATAATATAATTGAGATAATGACAACAACGACAATGGTGAAAATATAAGAAATATAGAAGAAGAGAAACATGAAAAGAAGAATGATTATGACAGGATGAATAATGCTGCTGTTTATAAAGTTTATTAAAATCTTAAATGGAATTATGGAAGTTTTCGACTGAAAGTAATTGAAGGGGTGATGATTGTTGTTTGAGCAACCTAGAAAAATTGTATCTTTCTTGTTTAATTTATGATTTAATTGAAATTATGAGATATGATATTTTAGAAACATTGATAGATGAATGAAAAGAGAATTATTTAGTCAGTGTTGTCAATCCACCATAAAGAAAATGAAATAAAAAGAATTTTGAACTACCATAATTATGAAGTCATTATAGTTGCTTTATTATGTTATAGTTTCTCTAAACTAAACAAAGAAATAATAAGAAATTATAGCAAATTATAACAATAAATAATGAAGACCAAAGAATTCAACCTTTAAATAAATAAATTAAAAAAAAATCAGAAGAAATCAACAGAATATTCTCATATTAGTAAAAAATTTGGAAGTGAGTGACAGAGAATGGCTAAATTTAAGTATTTGACAATAAGATGAATAAGTGACCCTCGAATGAAAGGTGAAAATAATTGTGATAATATTTGAATAATAAAAATAAGAATGATATTACTAAACTATACAAACAGTTTCATAAAGTACAAATAAATAAATTAAATAAATAAGTAAATAAATAAGTAAATTAAATAGTTGACAGAGGAATAAATGGGAATAAAAGATTGATAAGATAAATAAACCAATAATGATAATTATACATTATAAGTAATTATAACTAAATAAAATCATGATTCAAAAAGAAAAAATTTATATTGTCATTCACTAATTTTTTCTTTTATGTAAAATTATTTTAAAATTAATGTTTACATGATAGAAGGGCAAGACGAAATTAAAAAAAGAAAGTTTTATGTGACAAAATCAATTGGCACATATAACCAGGAAGAGTTTCAATTAGCTGGTCAAATTCAAATTCATCACAGCTTAAGTTAAATCATTAATAAATCTTTTACAATTTTCCAAATCCATACAGTAAATGCATTTAAAAAATAATAATTATAATAAATAAATAAATTTTCAATATAAGCAATAGTATTTATAATATATTGATGACAACTTACTGAAGAATAACATTAAAAATTTTAGCTTTTAATATTATTTCATTTTGCTGCATATTTTTTAATTCTCTTTGGAAATAAGACAAATACATTGAAATGTGCCATAAACGAATTTTCTTTAATTGATGAGACAAATCCATGTGGAGAAACATTTTTTTCAGATTATAGATGTTAAATTGGAATCTAAATTTTTTACAAATTTGGATGAGAAAACATGCACTTTATATTTAACTTACATCTTTATGTTCGAAATATTAATTCTTTTGCTCAAGTTTATCATTTTTTTTGGATACTTTTTAACAAGTGCTTAAATAAAATATCAGATAATAAAAATTATTAGTGATCAAATTTGAATGGATAAAAAAGAAAATGACAATTGTTTGCTCAAGCTCAATTTTAATGATGTACATCTGTCTTTTAAATATAATACATAATTAATTCTCATCTTTGAAGTTCTTGGCATCATTTTTGATATTCACTAAAAATATAAAAAGTTTTATATGTAGCAACAATTAATGATTTTGTATATAACTAGGAAATAGGAACCATTGTGAGTTTGGAGTAATTGATTTATGATTCAGCTTTTAACCAATATATTATACTGAATAAAAATAATAAATATTTTTTTTTAGCTGTTACATGTAACAATTTTCAAAAAAATAGAACTGGAAATATTTTATTTTGAAAAAATTATTTTTTAATATAGCTTTCTTTTTACTTTATATTACATAAGTATCTTTAATTTTATTAATTTAAAAATATTTTAATAAAAACCAATACATTTCTGAATAAATTTATAATTATCTAATTATTGAAGAAAATATTATCTAACTAAACTAAATTCTAAAAGAATAAAAAAATTAAAAGTATATATAATTAAAGAATCATTTGCAAAACAGCTTTGCAAAAACAAATATTCAAGTACTTTTATACCTTCTGAAAAGTTTTACTTAGTTACTTAAAGGAAGTTTACTCCAATTATGTATTAGAGTTACGTCACAAAGTCCTAGAAGTGTAAAAAATTTGTGAATATTTGTTATTAAAAAAATTCATCTTTCAATCTATTTGTAAGCCAGCTTAGTGAAAGCAAATATTCATGTACTTTCATATCTTCTGAACAGTATTGATTAGTCTTTCAAAGACAGTTTACTTTGACTTTGTAGTAGAGTTATGTCATAAAAGAAAAATTTATATTTCAATCTGTCTGTAAGCTAGCTTGAAAAACAATTCTTTGATTACCTTCATACCTTCTGAACAGTTTTAATTAGCTGCTCACACTAGTTAAATACAAAAGAATCACTGTACTAAATGGTAATTCCTATACTATAGATCAGCTAAAAATTGGTAACAATTGCATCCTATATTATAAATCAGCTAAAATTGAAATTCCTTTTCAGTATGGCATATCTTTTGTATTCAACCTGTGTTAAAGACAGTTTACTTTGACCAATGTATTAAAATTATATTACAAATTTCTGGAAGTGTCAAAAATTTATGAGTTTTTGTTGTAAACTAGCTTAGCAAAAACAAATATTCAATTATTTTCATACCTTCTGAACAGTTTTAATTAGTTGTTCAAGAACAGTTTGTATTGTATTTATGTCTCAAAGTTCTGGATGTAAAAGAAAACTGTGAAAATTTTATAAGTACTTTTAATTAAAGAAAAATTCTTCTTTCAATCCATTCATAAGCCAGCTTAGTGAAAACAAATATCCAATTACCTTCATATCTTCTGAACAGTTTTAATTAGTTGCTCAAAAACAGTTTGTTTTGAAATTATGTCCTAAAGTTCTGAATGTAAATGGAATCTGTGAAAAATTTTGTGAATATTTTTATTTATAAAAATTCATCTTTTAATCCATTCATAAGCCAGCTTAGTGAAAACAAACATTCAATTACTTTCATATCTTCAAACAGTTTTAATTAGTAAATAAAATGGAACTTTAAAAAAATTCATGAGTATTTTTAAATTAGAGAAAAATTCATCAATTATTGCCTAACAAAATTACAATTGAAATGATTTACACATAATTCAATAGATACCAGAAAATATATTTAAATATATAAATTACATATTAATTATATATATAAATTACACATCAATTACACAACAATTAATATAAATCCTAATATATCAAGAATTAGTATATTTTACTTGATAATTAAAAGCTATATTACAATTCAAACATTAATCATCATCTACAAAATTACAATTATGAAAACAATTCGCAATAGATACCAGAAAAATATATATATATATATATATTTATATCATCTATATTCTATTTTACATCATATGTGAATAAAATTATACTGAGGTGGCACAAAAACGCCCCAAACATGATGTCACTATTTGAATGAAATTATCCTTATACATCATTCTTCGTCCAAGATGAAAGATAATATCCTCGTGTTTATGGATGATGGTAAATGAAATTAAGTAAAGGGTAAGATATAAAATAGCTGTGGAAAAAAGGAAGAAAAACAAGAGATTCCTTTTTGTCAAAAAGAACAAGACCAAAATAAAAATATTTTACTTGATATTTTAAACATTTATAATTTTAGTTTTATTTTTTTTTTTTTAGAAAAATATTTTGAACATTTTAATTTAGTTTTATTTTTACTTTTCATTTTAATACTTTTTAATAATATAAAATAATTTCATATAGCAATAGAGATAAGATATACCAACATAGTAATATATCTCTATTGTTGTATTCCTGTAATAATTTTAATAATTAATTTTGTGCAGGAGGAAGCAAAGTGATAAGATACACCAAAAAAGTAATATATTGCTATTGTTATACTCCTACACGAAATTTTAATAAATTTTAATAAACTATTGAGTATTTCTTGACAAAATTATATTAAAAAGTCTATTTCAGTTTGGTAGTGTGTAAGCAATAATAAAGATATTTTTACTCCATTTGCTCATCGTACCTTTAGATATTACATGTATGTAATTGCATTGTTTGAAAGTGTTAGTAAGCAGGTATAGATTGACTGATTGCCTGATCTTACTGTATTTTGTGATATATTGAATTATCGTGTGATTATCCTAAACTTATTGAGACTGATTTGTGTAATTTTCACATTGTTCTGAGCGGACCATGACAATACTCACATCGTGTATAACAAGGAGAAAATCTTTTGTTCCGGACAATACTATTTTATGATTCAAAAATAAAAGTTATTACATATTATTACATAAAAATTATCACAAACAGATAGATAAAGATAATCAAAAAATATATAATAATGATATTTATCTTACGTTGTATAATAATAATTATTTATAGTTAATAAAAACCAAATCAGGCAACAAAAATCATAACTTCTACTAAAAAGGGATACTGTAAAAATCAGCATAAGTAACATCAAAAATGTCGAATATATCCATTCCTAATGTGATCATACTTGAATATAATTATAACAAAGTCACCAATCATTGCTACATATAATACTTTCTATATTGTAAGTGAATGTTAAAACTGTTACTATGTAACTTCAAGAGCTAATTGCGTATTATATTTAAAGAACAGATATACACTTTCCTAGCAAAGTATTTGTGAATAATAAAATTCTAAAACAATTGCTAAAATTAAAATGCTAATTGTAACATGATGAGTGATCCAAATTGTACAAACTTTTTTAGTAGATTCCTCTAAACTAGGGCTATCATATGATATATTTTGTGATAAAATCAAAAACCTATACATTTAGATATTAAAACTGACAAAAAATAATAAATTTATTCTTAGATCGTCACCTATACTGCATTTGATGAGTATTAAAGATAGATACCAACTATCTTATACAAAATTGTAGCAAAAATAATATCTAATTTTTAATTATTGATGTTTTTCTCAGTATCTAATAAAAATGTCAATAATTAAAATTGTGGATATTATTTTTAGTTACAATTTCATATAAGATAATTGGCATCTATCTTTAATACCAATCGAATACAGTATAGGTAATGATCTAAGAATAAATTTATTATTTTTTGTCAATTTTGATATCTCTATGTATAGATATTCGATCTTATTACAATATATTATATAATAGCCCAAGTTTAGAGAAATCCAATAAAAAAAAGTTTGTACAATTTAGATCACTCATTGTGTTACAATTAGCATTTTAATTTTAGCAATTATTTTCGAATTTTATTATTCCACAAATACTTTTGTTAGGGAAGTGTATATCATCAAAATTATACTTATTCAACATCACATCAACGTAATTCGATATATTGCAATTTTTTCGAGGCATTACTAAGTAAAATAAGTTGTGGACATAATTCGACATAATTGTTTTACTAATTGATGTAATTGACGTAATTATTTCACTGTGAAGTATAATCAAAATTGAGCAAACAATTGTCATTTAAGATTGGTTCCACTATTCAAAATTTAACTGCTGATATTCTTTCAATTTTGATGATATAGGTCCATTCTTTCATTTTTGTTTTTAAGGATACTTAGTACAATTTCTGACACTTATATATTAAAATATAATGTTTTATATGTGGTAAAAATCATGAATTATTTCCAATATGTAATTTATAGTTGAATGCAGTGTTGTCAAAGGACACCTTTGGAACAATGTAAGGAACAAATATTATTTTTTAAAATGGTAAATGCACAAAAGTTAACTTGAAAATCTACTTTGGACTATTAATTAATGTTATTGAAATTGATTTTTATATATATATCTATAAAGTTTTAATATCCATTTATGAGTTGGTTAAGGGTAGGGATAGTGTTCATTGGATACAGGGACTGTCAAAAAAGCTGGGGACATGCAAATTTGACAACACTAGTTGAATGGATATCCTTTTATCTGGAAAAATTCAGCTGTTTAACAGTGTACCTATCAGGATACGTCTTAAACAGATCTCACCACTAATTCGGTCTTTAATAATTACTGTATAATTATTAAATATTTATGCATTTTAATATCTAAATAAGTTGATAATTCATTATTTATAGCTTATTTATTATTTTTTTTTGATTTAGATTTTTTTTTATTTTTATTTTTTTTAATTTTATCTTATTTTTTGATTTTTCTTTTATTTTTTGATTACTGAGCTTAAATAAATGAAATGATTTTAAATGATACAAATATATAGCATTTCTAAATTGCAAATTATACAATGACAAACTAAAAATTCAAGCAAATAAAATATCTTGATCCAGAATTCTTGTTTATTTTCTCATATCAAATAAATTACAAGAGAAACAACAAAACAAACTCTAAACTAATATCTTATCTATTTATGTTGATATCATTAAAATAATTATTAATATTTTAAAGTTAAAATGACAAATATTAGTTTTTTAATAAACTTTTTTGTGGTTTTAATTAACTTTAACGTTAAAATAGTTTAATTAATTAAATGTTGATTAATTTTAATGAGAAAAAAAACACTAATTTAAAATTCAAGCTATAAAATAATAAAATCATATAAAACTATAATATTTAGTTAATTTTTTTCATTAACAAAAATATTATCTAAAAATTCTTATATTCAATGTAAAAAAAATTATAGACAATGTAAAAAATTATAAATAATTGAATGAAACGCATAACTCAGTATAACTAAACATATTTTCTGAGTTGATATTGTTATTGTATTTAAATATTATTTGGAATATTATTGTTTCATATATTTCATTTCAAATTGTACTCCATATTCCTCAATAACTTTCCAATGTTCATCACTTAATACTTGACGATTTACAATCATCATCTTTTTATTTTCTACTCTACACCATCCTTCAAAAAAATATCTTAAACTATCAGCACTAAATATCCCCATTCTAATTTCAATAGTTTCAAGTGATTCCGGTACACTTTCGGCCAATTGGCATAATAATTTATCAGCACCCGTTTCTGCTCCGTAACTAAATGAAAATCTCCTTAATTCATTAAAATTATTTTTAAATATTTCTATTACTTGTTTAAGACTTAAATCTGGTAAAGTTAATTCGGTAATATTTGTACAATAATTTAAATTGCTGAAAATATTTCAGATGGAATTCTAGGAAATAAGTTTAGATGAACATTTTTTAAATTTGTATTGGCCGTTTCGAGAATTTTTATAATAAATTCTTGAGGACACTTATTATAAAAATTAGTCAAATGAAAACTAATTAATTGAGTAAATAATGAAGCAAAAGACAAACAATCCAATCTATAACAATCTTCAACATAAAATTCTTGAAGTGAAGTAAATTGTTCAATTGGCAACGATTTCTCTTCGAAATATACTGATTTTAAACGAAGACTCTTCAATGTTTCATTTTGACTGATGATTACCGATAATAATGAATTACAATTTATATACCTAACACCAATAATTGATAGATTTTTTAACCGTTTTTGAACACTAATTAGTTTTCCTAATAATTTCATTTGAGAATCAGACTTTAATTCCTAATTCATATTTAAAATATTATCACAAAATAATGCTAATGACTCATATAATGGTCTAGTTAGTTCACCTTTAATTGTCGCCGAAACAAATGTTTCTAATTTTTTAAATACTTTCGGAGCATTAGGTAACTTGATGATTGAACCAATTAAATCACTATTTAGAAATTTTTTACAAAAATCTTCGCGAGCATCCGTCATATTAAAAGAATCCAAAAATGTGCAACGATTTATTATTAATTTACATATCTCACGAAATAAAATTCTCGATTTGGTGATGTCTTTATCTGAACCAATAGATTTTTGTGAATAGAAAATATAATAAACTAAATTATCAATTCTAAATTTATGAGTAAATGATGGATAATCAAAAGTGGCTTGAGGTGGTGATGATGATAAATCAAATCTATTTTGAGTAAGTATAGTTCTAGCTTGAGTATCCATACATGATATATAGATTCGAATACATAATGCTTTCTTTCTCAACTTATCATAATTATGAGTTTCTTGATCTAAAACTAATTCCCAAAGTATAGGTATAGTAACTTTACAGCCGATTCTGTTAACTAATAAGGAGGAATATAAATCACGAAATGATTGAACATTATTTTTAAAATTTTAATTAATATTTCTGTGGGAATTTTAGTTGCCATTTTTTTTTGTAACGAAGAGTAAATTTTTTAAAAAAAATCGTATCACATTTAATTCAATGCAGTATATGCAATGTGTAGCTACGTATGTTTATTCAATAATACGCACAAAGAAATAGCTGGAGGGAAATTTCACACCCTTTGTGTTACTTGTAACATTTTACCATCAATACTCCGATTTTTTTAGGGAAATATTTATATTACACAAGAAAATCTTCTTCCCCAATGTTCAAATAATTTATAATCGTTTAGTGATTAAGAAATTATTACTATTTTGTTGAAATAGATAATGGTTATGCTTTTATTTTTAATCTTTTATCATGGATCTTTTCAAGTTATCTATTTTATATTATCCAATTGTTATGTCTCATATGCATGTACGAACGAAAGGAAACCAAGTATATAGAGGGAAGAGTCACGAGTAACAATGTTTGTAATAAATAAGAGATAAGTAAATTATACTTGTGACATTGTTATTATTTATTTCAGCATTACCTTTCACAATACTATTGATACTTTGGCGGGCCTTGGTAAATCTTCTTCTTTCAGGTTAAGAACATACATTCGATTCAATTATCTATATAATATATATGAATAAATATCTTAGCAATAAACATTATAATTTCTCTGTAAAATGAGAACAAAAAGTTAAATAGGAAATAAAATATATTTACCTTGTTAGTAAAAATTTTCACCACACCTCGAATATAAACAACAATATTTGCGTTTGTTAGGTTATTCGTAATTTTATTGGATACATGTTGCTTTGTGTTAAATTATTTATAATAATTCTCATAATAAAAATAATAATAAAAATGATAAGTTCATCAGTGGATAAATTTTCATCTAAGTTTTCTGTTAAAGGATGTGATAAAATTGATGACAATGGTCATTATCATCAGTAAATTTGTTTAGGCGTAATATTACGTAATATTACATCACTTACAAAAAATCCGTTTTTGACTTCGTTCGCGATTTACTACTAAAGTATTTCCAATAATGATCGAAAGCCCTGATTTCTGGCTACATGTTGATATACTGTACATATGTTTCATTCCTGTAGCTTCGATATTCATCGAGATATTCACTTTTAAAGTCGAACGTCCGTGAAAAATTTTGCAAATTAATTTTACGTAATATTTCGTAATCTACGTAATATTAAGACATTTACGAAGATTTTCGAAATTTTCCGTAAAATTTTTCACGAAAGTCCAATTTAAAAGTGAATATCTCGATGAATATCGTTGCTATAGAATGAAACTCATATCAACATGTAGACAGGAAACCAGGACTTTCGATACATCTTAGAAATACCTTAGTAAAAATGATCCCTGTCACGTAAATCCCAAGCGAATTCCAAAACAGATGTTTTTAGGCGTAAATGCCGAAATGTTTAAGTAATATGTATTTCGAAAATTCACGCCTAAAAAATTTCCTGATGATCGTTATCATCGTCATTTAATAGGTTAACAATGACTCTATCTGTTTTTTTTATCAATAACGGAATGAAGAAATTCACAAGGTTGGGTTAAAGGGGCTTAGGTCTCAGAATTCCTGGTCGTCTACATTTTCTACGTTAATGTTGTAAATTATGGTTGATTATAATGTGATTGCAATGATGACAACGACGACAATGGCGATGACATAGGTAATATAGAAGAAGAGAAATATGAAAAAGAAGAATTTTGATTATGATAAGATTAATATTGTCGTCGTTTATAAAATTTATTAAAATTTTAAATGGAATTATGGAAGTTTTCGATCGAAAGTAATTGAATAGATGGTTATTGTTGTTTTAACAACCTAGAAAAATTGTATCGTTCTTGTTTAATTTGTGATTTAATTGAAATTATGAGATATGATATTTTAGAAACCTCGATGGATGAATGAAAAGAGAATTATTTTGTCGGTGTTGTCAATCCACCATAAAGAAAATGAAATAGAACGAATTTTGAACAACTACAATTATATAGTCATTATAGTTGCATTATTATGTTATAGTTTTCTCTAAGCTAAGCAAAGAAATAATAGAAAATTATAGCAAATTATAGCAATAAATAATGAGGACCGAAGAATGCAACCTTTAAATACAGTAAATAAATTAAAAAAAAAAAAAATCAGAAGAAATCGACAGAATATTCTTGTATTAGTAAAGGAAAAATAAAATAAAACTTGATGGGGTAACAGTGAGTGGCTAAATTTAAGTATTTGATAAATAAATTAAATAAGTGACCCTCGAACGAAAAGTAAAGATAATTGTGGTAATATTTGAATAATAAAAATAATAATGCTATTGTTGTACTATGCAAACAGTTGCATAAAGTACAAATAAATAATTTAAATAAATAAGTAAATAGATGAGTAAATATATATAGTTGGAAATGGGAATAAAATGAATGCGAATCGTGATAAGATAAAAATAAACCAATAACAATAATGATACATTATAAGTAATTATTACTAAATAAAATTGTGATTCAAAAAGAAGAAAATTTATATTGTCGTTCACTAATTTTTTCTCTTATGTAAAAATTATTTTATAATTAATATTTACGTGGTATAAGGGAAAGATAACATTGAAAGCAATATTTATTCGGAAATTAATAAAAGTAAAAACAAAGATAGCAAAAAATTTCTTTCAATCCAGCACCACAGCAATGACATATAAATATGTCAATTACTTCTTAAGCCAACAACTAACCAGGTTAATTAATTTATTTTGACATTAGATATTGTATATTTTACTATTTATTTGTTCAATTACTATAATTACTACAACCAATGAGTTTTTCATAAATTTGGTTTATTTTATATTATAAATGGTTAAATTCTTCATTTTTTTCTTTTGGCCTTTCATATTTAGTAATAACATAAGGTTTAATTGAATCTCTATTAAATGAAGTGATAAGTTGTCCCTCTTATCAAGAAAAACATTCACAGTTGATAGATATATAATTCTATTTAAAAGAATTATTACAGGCAAACATCCGTACGATTTTCATTGTTTTCAACTTCAATTATTACATTATAATCACCATTTTCATTAAGAAGTTAAATAAGGGTTTGATATAACTACTCAAAGAATTTTAGACATTTTTTTTGTAAATTTTGTGAATTAAACGTCAAAAAAAGGACAAATAGAAACGAAACACAATGTTAATTCATACAGTTAAGTTAGTAATTAAAAGTTAGTAATGCAAAATAAACAAATTAGTAAGATGAATGATTTATTATACTGTAATTAATACTTTATTTATTATTAGATCTTACTTTGATTAGAGCTGAATTACGGTAGAATTACATTAGCCTTAATTATTTTGTTAATATAAGAATATTTTTGTATTTATAATTTAATAAATGAACATTCATTTTGCTTAATAATAGTAATAATTATAATAATTTTAGTTTACTATTTTGGCTTACTGAATATTTTCGCCAACACAATAATTACATTAGCAAACGTATTTGCATGAATTTTTTTGACTAGCATGTAGCTGCGGTAAATATAAAATAGTGTATTGTCACGTCTGGACAGCACACAAACCAAATTACACAATAAATTCTATTTTTAGTTACACCGATAGCTTACACTTCTTCGTGTATCACTATCCTA